GGAGTTCGGCAGGTGTTCTGGTTGGCTGAGTAGGTCCGTAGATGTGAGTTTTGGTGTATTTGTGGGAGAGGGTGAACTACAAGCATCCTACTCCACCATCTTGCTTCTCTCCAAGACTAAGAGGTTTTGACGACTTGTACTGGTTGATAAAATAATTTAACGCAGGATATGTCTAAATAAATAAATGATTTCAAAATAAAATGTAATGATAACTCTCCAGAGAAATGCAAATCAGAACTACAATGAGGTATCACCTCACACTAGTCAGAACGGCCATCATTAAAAAGTCCACAAATGATATATGCTGTGAAAGGTGTGGAGAAAAAGTTACCCTCCTACATAGTTGGTGGGAATGTAGTTTGGTTCAGCCATTATGGAAACAGTATTAAGATTTCTCAAAAAACTAAAAACAGACTTACTATATGATCCAGAAATTCCTTTCCTGGGTATATATCTGGAGGGAACTTTAATTCGAAAAGATACAAGCACCCCAATGTTCATAGCAGCACTGTTTACAATAGCAAAGACATGGAAACCTAAATGTCCATCGACAGATGACTGGATAAGGAAGCTGTGGTATATTTATACAATGGAATACTATTCGGTCATAAAAAAGAATAAAATAATGCCATCTGTGGCAACATGAATAGATCTGGAGATTGTCATTTTAAGTGAAGCCAGAAAGAGAAAGAAAAATACCACATGATATCACTCATATGGGGAATCAAAAAAAAAAAAACAAGAAAAAGAAAAAAGAAGAGACTAATGAACTCACCTACAAAACAGACTCACAGACATAGTAAACAATCTATGGTTACTAAGGGGAAAAGGAGTGGGAAGGGATAGATTTGGGAGGTTGAGATTTTCAAATATTAACTACTATATATAAAAATAGATTAAAAAAACAATTTTCTTTTGTATAGCATAGGGAACTATATTCAGTATCTTATAATAACCTTTAATGAAAAATATGAAAACAAATACGTATATGTATGACTGGACACTATGCAGAGATTGACACAGTATACATGACTACACTTCAGTTTTTAAAAATGTAATAATTCTCCCCAAAAAAGTTGCATAATGCAAAATCATCATCTGAAAATAGTAAACTAGTTATAAATCCCAGGTTATACTAAAAAAAACTAGGAAATAAGAAATATTTGAAAGAAAGTTACAGTGATTTTTTTTCTCATCTTACAAAGGGAGGAAACAAGATTCTATTCATGGTAGATGTAAATAATTAGAAAAAGTCAGGTAAAAACACTTTTAAGGTTACTAGCAAAACATAAAACAAAGTATTTTGTTCAAATCATGTCAGAAAATGTTAAAGAAAATATATTCATAGTTAGAAAGAAACCAAGGAAAACAAAGACAGAAAAGAAACAGCAAGGAAGCATTTTTAAAAGCTTACAGATTATCAATTACACAATAATTAAATTCACCTATTTTTTAAAAGTCCCTTTGATATGATGTTTAAGTGTATGCAAGTGACATATTTGAAGTAGATTTAGAAAACTAAAGAGGAAAAAGTAAAGATACAAAGAAAACAAGAGTTACATCAAAGCAAAATCCAAGAAATAAAAACACACGAGAAAAAAAGAATCTTTTATAAAAATCTACAACTTACACAACTTTATGTACTAAATAAGTGTTTGAGATATATATATGTAAAAATTGTTAAACATGCAAAAAGAAACGGATATAAATTCAGAAGTACAGTTCTTCAATAGACTTCATTAGCTGTTATAGTCAGCAAAATAGAAACAAGGTGAAATTAAAAGGTTGTCTGATGTTAAAATAGGCCTCATATATGATTTAAAAACAAGGAAAGAGAAAAAATTGGGTTTTTTAAAAGAATGTTCTTTAGTATAGTTATATGAAGGACAGAGGATGAATTCACAGGACTGAAAACAGGAAGACAATCTTCTTGAATGAAAGAATGAACGGCAATCAGAATTCCACTGCCCCAGGTAATCCAACAATTAAATACATTTCTAGGAAATGCTACCTTAAGGCTAGTTCCCATCTGGGTGTATCCTATTCTAACTTATACAGCTCTTTACTGTCTACAAACTGCTTTCACATTCGTATCACTTTCAACATTGAACAAAAGGAAGGGACAGTAATACTTAGATGAGAACAAAACAGAAACTCTTGGAAGAAAGGAACATGACTCAAGGAGGGAAATTCCTGTGCCATAAGAGGATTGTGTACAGAATGCTTTATATATATCAATTAAGAATTTTCTTCCATGCTCAGCATTCCTACTCCCTCCAAGAAGAGTCTCAAAGTCCAAGCAGCAGCAACAGACAAACATGAGTCTGAAGAGCATGGTTATAGTCTTGGCTGTGATACTCTGTGCTACAACTGTGAAAGGTATATGGTACTTTTTACTTCTAAACCTATAAGTTTCTTTTCTAATGCTTCAAATGTCTTTTCTTCCACTTTTATACTAAAAGATATAGTAAATTTTTATTTAACCTTACACATTAGAAGTTACTACAGCTTTGGTAGAGAATATTAGAAATACTTTAAACATCAGAGATGATTGTTGAAACTAACAGTGATAATTTCATGGAATTTATTTGGCTACAGAATTGGCAGGAGCCTTTAGTAATATTTAAATGTTTGCTAAAAAGATTTTATATGAGATAATGTTATTAGCTTCCTGGAAAAATTTTTGAGCATAAAAGCAAGAGGCAGATAAGCTTGATATCTAATAAACTTCTTTCATGCTTCTCTTTATTCTTTAATGGTTTGCTTACAAATTCAAAG